GATATTTTATATGTTGAATTAAAGTTATCTCTTGCTAATTTATATAGTATCTTTTTTTGAGTGCATTTTGTAAGACACTCATCTGTGAAGAAAAATTGGGTTGCATGTAAGTACTCGTACAAGTTAGACAATATCTATGCCACAGTGCTAACACTTTTCAGAGCTGTAATCTATGTGATAATATGCAGTGTAGCGGCCTACACATGCCTTGACGGCAATGCAGATACCAAAATTGAAAACACTATTAAGTTTAAGAAATAATTTTGACTCTTAAATAAAATGTCCCATCATTGTCTTTGTATAATAACTTCCATTCATTAGCCAAATAGTACTATGAAACAGAACTAATGAATACAACATTATCAATAGTTTTGGTTTACTGGAAAACATCACCATATAAATATTTTCATAATTAGTCAGTCACTAAATCTTAACGATCTCTACATGAAACTTATTTTAAATTATTTTAATTTTGTCCATTCAAAATTTGAAAGTATATATTTTATTATAACCTAACATTCATTTAATAATCTATATATATATATATATATAGCCGGTGTTAAGTGTCACTGCATTTCAGGACTGGGGCACTTTTGAAGTCTTAACATATGCCATTTCATCGAAAACTATTTCGTTGAAAGTCCATTTTATCGAATCACCAAGTCGTAATTATCTGAATATGTAATTGTTTTTGTATTTAAATACTAACAGATATGGTATGGTATGATTTGAAAGAAACTTTACACGGGATTGCCAGTTGTGTAAATGGTTTATTAAAGAAGGAAATGTCATCGTTTTAGCTAGACACATCTGATTCACAGTTGCGTCAAAATTTTGTTTTGTTGAGAGGTTGTAGTGATCTAGAATGATGATCACACCCCCCCCCCCCATATATTAGTACTAGTTAATAATATTTTGCTTTGCATTTATTGTAATAATTAAAAGTAAAACATCAGCTGGAATCAAACGTGCACGATGATTTCTTTAATTTGTACTACATTGGGTGGTAGTTCAGGGGTTTTTCTAGAAAAAAACTGCATAAGGGAGCACTGCACTTCGGTGGCGCCACCAAGTGGAGGAGATAGGGTTCTCCCTACCAGGGTGTGGAGTTTTTGATAATTCTAAGTTAAAATGGAGCATTCTATGACTTCCTTGGGGCCAAATTATTATTCTGATTGACCAGGGATCACTTGTGGTTTTTAATAAGAAGTTGAAAATATCACTTTTTACCAAAAATGACAAAAATATTCACCAAAATTAGAGAATTAAAGATATCATTCAAAATGAACAAATCTAAGAGAGCCGTCTACCTGTAGTACCTAGATATGTAATATCAAAGCAATTGGATTTGCAGTTTTTAACAAGAAGTCGAAAATATCACTTTTTACTAAAAATGAAAAAAAATATTCATCAACATTAGAGAATTGAAGATATCATCATGAAATGAACAAATCTAAGAGAGACCTACCCAAGGTACATATACACCAAGTATCAAAGCATTCAGGCTTGTTGATTTCAAGAAGAAGTCGAAAATGTTAAACATTGACCGGACGACGGTTGCCGACGATGGCAATCACTTATATGATAAGCTCCGCTCGACAAAGTCGTCAGCGGAGCTAAAAAGGGGGTTTGTTTTTGCATTTCGTGTAATTTTCCAGATTGTCCAAATGTTTTTTGATAAACTCTTTGTCAATATAGTTGTATATCAGGATATAATAACCACTAAATGTTGAAATTACTTTCTCAAGCAAATGTTTTAGTCAACTGGGGACATCCCTGTATTCAGCTATAGTTTTGATGGAATGTACCCAGAATGCTGAATGCATGCATACTTGTAAGGTTTGATATAAAGTATATGTATTTATTAGGATAATTTAGATCTACTTTTAATATGCCAAGACCGTACTTTGGTCTCACAATGGGGTCTGCTGGGAAAAATGTTTGGTCTAGGATCGGGTAATGTAAAATAGGTCCTGGGTTTTGTAGTGCGAGCTACACACCGTTACCATATCGGCAGCCAAGTACCCCCCCCCCCGGTGTAAGCGTTCCTCTTCAGAACTTCCAACGTTATAACAATGCGATTTCGATAAAGTGCAAATAGATGGGAAAGGCCTGTTTTGATGTTGGTAGATTGCCTTAGATTCCACACCTTAGAAGTAGAAATTGGTTCCGGGAGATGTTTTGGTCGTATATTCTTGCTTGTTGCCAAAGGTCATGCGATATGGCAAATACGTTAGGACGTAGATGGCGCCCTCACATCAGCATTCGAGTTGATGAACATCAATAGATCAGTTTCCATATATTTGTTTCAGCCATTTAGTAGACTAAGCATCAATGTAACCTTTACAGAACTGGATATATTCACAGTGGAGTCCATGCAGGTATATATTTTCGACAAAGTGTCCCAATGTACCTGTATTTTCTCCGAAATAAACCCATACTGACAGAAGCACTACGTTATTACTAGATTTTAAACTAATTTGAGAATATTTTACCCCCAGAGAAGCTATTTCAAATTCATGCTGTAATTGTACTAAACGCTCTAATTTGAAATAACACTAAACATCTTATGCAAAAGGTGTAATCATTATATTAAAGTAATAACATAATTATTGCAATAACTACAAATAACATAATATTGAATGTATATATACTTGGCAATACACCTCAGATGAAAATGACCACCAATATCTTACTTAGAGCAAAACAAGTCACAAGTCAAAATCACAAGTAGTGTTTTCTGACGTCATAGTGTCTATGTAGTATTGGTATTTTGGAACAGTGAACGCGATGTCGCAGAGAAAGAAACATTACTACAAATAGTTTCAATGGACTATCGCTTTCAACGAGATTTCGGCGGACATTTACGTATACATATAAAATTAACAATTATCATATTTGTAAGGTCAGTAAACATATGAAATACACAAATACCACATTATTGAATATATGACATAACGTATGAGTACATTATAACAGATCTCTGGTTTATAGTTAGTTTTGATGACAATTATTATAGGATAACAGATAAGTGTGATACTCATCTGAGTAAACTCTTGACTATTTATACCGCTACAGTACGGTGATACACATGTCCAAACAAGACATTTATTCTTGTCAATTATTCAATGTAACCTCACTCAGCTGAATATAAAACAATTATTATCACTTTCAAATTGTCCACATGTTTTACTAGTTAGCCGAATACAAAGTCGCAGTGACTCCTTGTCCTTAGTAACCTAGTAAACAATTAATAATTTGGTAATATTTATTCTATCACTAAATAACAGTGTTTTATGTGATGAAAGATGTTCTGTCAAAAATAAAAAAAATACATAACGTAGTTATTACAATCGTACCTAGGAGATACCTAGAGCGTTAGGAGATATTAAATAAATTTAGCAAAGTGTGCATGTATTTCTTGGCGAATTGGTTAATATGTTATAGTACTTGATAACATTTTGAAATTTGAATAGATCAGATAAATATTGTGCGTGTTATCGTTGACACACAGTAATAGGTACCAGGGTCAAAAGTCATCTGTCCATCGATGGCTGTCAAAATTTATGTATGGCGACATTCCTCTTATATGATTACTAGTTAGCATGTCATATTAATTCTCCAAAGTACAAAGATATGCAAATTAATTTCCAACCATCTTTGCTTATCTCTTAAGAATAATCATATGGGGTTTGTTAAACTGAAGATAATTTGAAAAGCAAAAGCGCTTCTCAGTATTACACAGTGGAAAAAAGTCACATTTGAGATTGTGATGAAAACAGTGGACGTTAATTATTTTGAAAGTTTGTCATTGGTACTATTCAATTTATGCTAATGTGGAAACCACACATTGTCAATAATTCGACCTGTTGTGTAATTTCTACTGCACATTTTTTCTTCAATATGAAAGGTCAAAGCATTATCGCTTAAAAACTGTGTAGAATGTATTGGATTGTAGTGTCGTTGTTAGTATGGTACATAGAATAAGGATGTCTTCTAGTAAGATGTGCATTAAGTGTATATTTTCACACTTCAGGTTTATGTGAACCATTCCATTTATCTTATTTAGCATCACAGTCGTACCTAGAAATAAAGATTAAATGTGGATGAATGACAAGTCTGTCAATAGAAGTGACAGATTATAAACTATTAAACATAAATGTATTAGAATGACTTGACGCACTAGGGAGCAGCACAACTATTGACATTGTAATTGTTATTTGGATTGAATAATAGATTTTTTTTAAATCACAATTGCCACAGCCGTTGTTTTGGAAGTTCGCATTGCTCATACATCACCAAATGTTCACTAAAAGGTAAATTGAATAGCGAGGGAATATACAGAAGATTGGAACATATATAACTAACCTTGGTTGTGTGTTCAAATTACTAGAACTCATGGATACCAATGAACTGCTTGACTTTGACCAGCAACCGCTCAGCACATGCCACTGCATCTGCAGCTTGATCTATGTTGTACCTCTCATTTGCTGTCTTGAGGTGAAGAGGGTAGCGAGTGTCTTTAAAGTCACAACCATTTCTAAGTATCTCAGCAACATCTTTATCGAGGCCTGATGGGCATTCAGCATGGCTCTGTACTGCATATGCCAGGCTCATTAGGTCTGTAGTATTTAGCTCTGGGTGTCCGTCAGCAGCAAACTTTGCAGCTTTCAAAGCCTTCTCTGCAGATTGATGTACTTGAAAGCATACCCATTCGCATAATGGACTAGTAGAATCAACAGTGTATAAAGCAGCTTGCAAGTCCAATTTGGCTTGTTTGAACCAAACTCTTGCCTCCCTTGGATTTGGAGTTCTTTTTGCAAATGAAGGAGGAACAAACGACTCAGAAAATCGTTCTGATCGGAAGCCTCGTCTGGAATATTCTCTCTGATACTGTTCTCTTTGTCTTCTATGGGTTCGTGCTTCGTCATTCCATGATTCATACTTACTGCTGTAACTTTCTTTTTCGGGGCCCCCGGTTTTTAATCGTTCAAGTTCCTTTAATAAAAACTGGAATGCAGCTGTAGATACAGAAATGTTAGTAGGATTCTTATCTGGATGCCATCGTTTGTACAGTCTCCTTACAATCTTGTCACGTTCTTCTTTTGGCAGTTTAAATGCTTCCTGCAATGTTTTCTTAATCTGATCAATTGCTTCTTTTAATGAAACATCAATTAATGGTGAAACTGGAACATCATCTGTTGGACTAGGGTGCATCATTATCTCATGTGCTGGTTGACTTTCAGGACGTAAGAATTTGTACAGGTCATTTACGCTCACAATCTCATACTCACCAGCACCACTATTTACTTTATATCTCATTGAAAGACCAGTCCCATCTGCCACTTCTATAATCTTGGCGAAAAAGTATTCACATGTTTCACTATGATCTGCACTGCTAGTAGTACACCTCATCAAGGCTACAATTTCATTTTTTTTGAAAGTGTTGAAAAGGCTATGGTCAAGAAGATGGTGAATATCAAATGGAACAGTGTTACCAGGAGCATGGGTATCACGTCTTAGAGCTTTCGTAGCTGCATTCAACTCCGGAATTTTGAATGTATTCGTCAGGATATCATGAAACTGCTCAATGCTGTATGACAGTAGAATGAGTACTTGTACACAGTCTTTCATCTGGTACCCTGTTAATCTATTCACAATATGGCTTATTCTGCTCAAGAAAACATTATCACCTGGCAAGTCACCATGGGTAATGTAAACAATCTGTTTTTCGTCTAAAAAGGCTGCTTCGGTTGTCTCACTTCTTTCTATAAACTCATCACATGTAGGGTTGAATAACTTTGTTCTAAAAGTTTTCATACAGCGTACTGTTACTCCTTTTAACATACCACCAATTTCATTTGATTTCATTGTGCCTTGTTGGTGACATACCACACGGTGGACACAATCAGCAAATTCAACACTTGTGAGTATCTTCTGAAAATGCTGCTCAAATTGGCAACTTTCACCGGCAAGGCAAACTTCAGACTGTGGATCTTTCTTTTCAAGAACAGTCTTCCCAATGTTCTTTGGCCGGAGATTTTCAGGTAAAAGATCAATTTTAATATCTTCATGACATTCACATTCACTCAGGGGTACAACAAATTCATATCTTTTAGATTGTATACGGGGAAGAATTGTAGTATCACCATAGAAAAGGTTTGTAGACAATGATACTCTCCCTGTCATACTAGGGAGGTAGATCTCAGATACACCATATTCACTCTGTTTGTGCTCTGTCATGTAGTAAAATAAACCTTTTGTAGCTTTTTTCGCTTTAACTCTCTCGTTTGGTGTCAAATGACCACCACTACTGTTATAATGAATTGTTGATAACACATTAGCATACTGACGGAATGTTGCCTTTTCCTCAGCTCCTATACATTTCAGTAATGTCTCATAAGAGCCCAATGCACGTGGTGGTGTGTACATGTAAGGTTGGAGCTCATCATCTTGTAAACCATCAAATTTATAGGCAAGTTGGTTGCCTCGAACAAGAACCTTATTGCTGTCAACAAGAACAATTGGTGTATTGCATAACCTTTCCTTCAGTGATGTCCTGTCTTTATTCTGCTTAAAAACATCATACATATCTATCAGTACTTGGGACAATAATCCACGGACAGATGAAAGTGGGTCTTGTTTCTCTGGTGAATTCTTCTTAGCTATTAGATTACATACATTCTGGCAATGGTTTATGACTGTATCTAGCGATGGCTCTTCTAAAATTCCGAGGCTCTCCCACAGTTTAATTTGTGTACTAGCATGATTTCTAATTTTGGAAGGTATTGCCCATGATGGCAGCATTAGGGACGTGGACCAGCTCAACTTCATATGATCAACTGAAAAATGCCCAGAGAGACAAATAAATGTTGTCTCGGAAAAGGCTGGGTGTATGTTAAGCAGCTCAGAAGGAACCTTGGCTGAAGGAATAAATTTAATTGCAGATACTTCTCTTAGAAATGAGCGAATATGAAGACTATCATTTGATTTAAGTTCAGCTGCTAGCATTTTTGATATGTGTATCATTTCCTTCATGTGACAACTTCTTTGACCAACTGCTTTGGACGCAACTTCATTAGCATACCGTAGAAAAATATCAGGAGTGACTTCAATATTCAAACCAAGGTCTTTGAGAAATGTTTTCCAGATGTAATCCGAGAATGGAGCAGGGAGAATGCGCTTCTTATCTTCCATTAACCTGAACAATTCATTACTACCATCAAAGAAATAATCTGCCTTCTCCATCTTGCCATTCACTGCTCGAATAAATTTAATTTGAGAGAGTGCCATCAATAGATGTTTCCTAACTGACTCAGATCCTGATAATCTGTACATATTATCTCTCATATATTCCAGATGTAGCAGTCTGGCTTTTTCGGACATAATGTTGAAGTTTGGAAGGATGTACTTCGTGTATACCTCAAATGATGTTATGTCTGTCACACCAAGGGTTTGCAGAAGTAACTGCAGATGATGATGCTTGGTAAGAAACACACAGCTACAGTGAAGTGTCCAGGTGTCTTGCTCAAATTCAGGAATGTGATCTACTAAAAAGTGGCAATGTTGGTATTCATGCAAACTAGTTAACTCCCTACAATAATTCTCATAAAATGGCAGTTTCTTCAATGTAAAAATGCTGTTCTCATCATACCTCATAACTTCTTCTTGAAAATATTGCAACATCAGGCTAGCTTCCTCTATGGAAATATCATGAAACGTAATCAGGTCCAGGTTCATCATAGTCTCAAACAATGACAGAACATCTTTATACTGACCAAGAGATGTTACATATGGCTTCAGTAGTACATGTACCCTTTCTGCATTTGTAGAATCGAATGTTTCAGTCATTAGGCTAAGCTTCACCTCAGCGCAACCAACCTTTCTCATAAATGTCACCACCTTCCACTGCAATCCGACCATGTCTTGATGCATTGACAGATTTAGAACATTTTTCCCCTGTGATGGTGTTACCAATGTATTTTTCGTAGTTGGAATAATTGGCCATTTGTTGATTGGTTCCAGTACATTGGAGTCGTCCCTAGACGAGAGATAACACCACAGTAATTTCAGCCACCGGAGAAGTTCTGGTCTTGAATTAAAATCAACATTCTGATTGGCATCATACCAATTTGATGGTAGCTGAGTATGAACAAATTTAGCAAGGTCTTGTGATGTGAACTTATTCCATATGGCTGTTGGAAGATTATTTATCTTATCTATTTGAAATTTCTTTAGCATTGGCAATACACCTCTTGCAATAAACATTTTATTTAGGGTAGGCAGCAGCTCGGTAAAGGAAGATAAAAAAGGTGGGGTATGTTGATTGAACACACCAATAGTACTATCTTCAAAAAGAAGCAAGGGTAAACCATTCAAGTCATTTGGATGGTTCAGTCCACTAAGAATATACGATAATATGTTCTTGAACTTGCTCAATTCAATGAATGCCGATTCCTCCAATCTGCATGGTAAACTGCCAATCTGATTCTTACATTTATCAGAGTGCATAAATCGGATTACAGCGTCTGTATTAACTTGTTCAACATCAACACTGGCATTTATGAATGAGTAGAATATCTTCATTGTTGAAGCTGTGAGGTTAAAACCAGTTTTACGAAGAAATGCTCTTGTATCTGAGCCTTCTGTAGTATAAGGCAAAGAATCAAAATATACCTGGTCATCTTCATTGACTGGCTCATGCCATGTGAGTTGATATCCAATTCCATTGCCACCATCACTGTCACCATGACCATCCACGCCATCACCTGTTTCTCTTATTACAGGCAGGACTGGCAGTGCTTTGGCGGCTATGAACTGTAGTGTCTTGGCAGCAAGGAATCTCCATGGACTAATTCTGAAACTTGCTGTAGTAGCTTTACATTTTAATTCTGGTGTATACACTGGGAACAGTTCATGATACCATTTTAGTCTGTTTTCATTAGGACTGCCAGCATGTGTGTATTTGATATATCTTTGACCAGCTATTTCTATTAGATTAGCATAAGCTGGAGCAAGTGCCTTTTCAATCAGGCTTTGATTCCAGTCACTTCTGATACTTTGATTAACATTTGCATCGTTCCACAAGTAGCGGCGAGCTCTGTCAAGTGCGAAGTGACCATTAACATGTACAGGAAGATTAGTTTCTATTGGCAACGGCAGAAAACAATAGGCACTGAATGATTTCTTCTTACTATCATCATGTATACGAGTTGCATTTGTCAGGTGTGAATATGAATCATCTTTCTTTGCCATTCTTTTGTTATTTTCCACTAAAGCAGCCACACCAACTCGAGGAAGTAGCTTACCAAGTTCTTCACCAACTAACTGCATTTCAGGAGGAGAGCAAAATCCCAACTGTTGTACTAGAAGCCACTTTTCATTTCTTTCTTTAGAATCGCAAATATGCAAATTGTAGTTAACAGACATCAGTGGAATATCAGCAACATGTGTCTTTTTATAATCTGATAATTGAGAAACAATTTTGCTGCGATTCAACTTGTCTTCATCTGACATTTTTGCTTCTGCTTTGTAAAGTTGTTTCAGCTCACCTGTTCTCAGAATTTCGGACACGGTTATAGTTGTTACATTGTTGAGAAATAAAAGACAGTCACATGCATGTCGTTTAAATTGCAACAATAGATGCCGGATATATTCATCTGTATATATTTTGTGTGATATTTGTGAGACTTCTTGTCTGAGGGGAAAACGAAACATGGTTCCGCCTTTAAGTGTAAAATGGTCACCAAGAAATCCACTGACCATATCTTCAAAGTGTTCCTTCAGCTTCACAATAGGCCTGTACAATATACCTGGAGACTGCTGAGAAGCACCTTCCACATATCTAAGCTGTGGGTCAAACACACCTAGTAGTTCATCATCAGACAGAAATGAAGGACAGTCAGTCAGGTGATAAACGGAATTGAAACCAATTCCATACTGTCCAGTGGTATATCCATCTGCTGACTTGCCACCAATTCCAACTTGTTGAATTCCCTCAATATCACCAGCACTAAATACTCGGTCATTAAATACACAAATTGCAGGACTTTCCTGAATAGGTTTCCACAAGTCACTAACAATTTTACCAGTTGGATGTGATCTTGGATCATATATTATGTGCAGCTCTGTTGCCATGGCATCATCTGCATTCTGGAGAAGTTCTTTAAATATTTCGAAACCACCAGGATATGCCTTTAAAATATCTTTCAACCGATCTGTGAGATCTTCTTTCTGACCAAAATCTTCTGTATATTCAAGTGGTGAGGAAAACTCATTGGATTTCTTTTTCTTAGCACCATCAATACCCAGTCTATCAGCTTGTTTCAAGGTAATGTCATGATGTGCATAAATAAACTGAGTTTTGTTAGTTAACCATGGAGCATCATCATATGTCAAATCCTTAACGTCTCTTAAATAATGATTCGTGTCAGGAGCATATATATCACAAGTCTTCAAATTGCATTCCAAAGAGCCAAGTTTGCTCAACATTAGCAAAACAAGTCGTAATCCATGTTTATCAAGTGGATCATCTCTATTCTTTTCTTTCAGCTGCTTTAGTACATCTAAAAAGTCATCAATGTTAAATGATTCTCTTACTCCACACACTTGTAGAAGTTTTCTACACTTCACAAGGTCTCTGGGGATCTTGTATAGGTAAGGTGATGATATGTCGGTCCACTTAAATGCTAACTGACCTGCACCAACAAAGGCTTCATCAACATAAAAAGCGTTCATGCTTCTAAGTTCCTCCACTTGATCTTCATAACCAGTAGAAATTCGTACTAAAGTATCACCACTCTCAGTTGTAACCTCTTTACATAATACTGTTTGTAAGTATTGATATATATTGAAACACATTTTCATGGTGTTTCTGGATTTTGGAAACTTTGATACTTGCCGCAACTGCAAGAGAACATCATCAACATTGACATGGCTTTTCACACCTAGGATTTCCGTTATTTTCTGAGTTAAATCAGCACTGTCTATACGACATTCATCAAATATGTTTGCAACAGAGCCAATGTAGTCCATACATTTCTTCCCATACATGTTACTCCCATCTGAAAGCTTCTCTTCTCCCATCCAGTCACAAGGATAATCAGATGGTTTTTTCAGCACTGGGAGGAAAGTTGTTTTGGACAATCTGTGCTGCTCATTTAAAGTTGGCTCTTTACCAGATTTCATCAAGTTACTCATGACTTTAAATATAATTTTTGTGCGAGAAACTGCAGCGTTAAAACCCCTAGTGTGAAAGACATCCATAACAGATTCTGCTCTACCACATATATCCTCCCATGATAGCTCTTCTGTAGCCATTCCAAGGTCGGTGAGAGAGAGCAATCTTTCTTTGGATAGAAACGCATCACCATATGGAAATCTGCCGTCTGAATCATCAAACAGTTTGCCAACTAATGATTTGGGATGCACAAGATTATGTGGTACATCAATAGAGTTACCATCAGGGGAGACTGGAAAACATGGTGTCGTCTTCAAGATTCCATCAAAACTAACATTCTTCTGGGATCCAATGCGAATGTCCAACAAGTACAGCAGCAGTGTTTTTGATATATCCTGATTAATGTCTTCTGTATGTCTGAAAAATATATCATTGTAGAAACGGTAGATGTTGTAAACATTTTCCTGGTTGACAAGTTGAGTGCCTCGGATGGAATTTTCAATGTCTTTATTTAGCAGAACAACTCTCCTTGGTTTGCAATATTCATTCAGAAGAATTGTTGCACTTTCAACAATTTTTGATTCTTTTTGCAAGTCTTTTCCAAGGAATAAACAGTCATGCAATCCAACCCATTTTGAGTCGTTGTAGATAATATTTATGTCCTGACTCCTAGTCACATGCTCATAGAAGGCCCTGACAAACGGATGGAAATCAGTCTCGGTGGAATCCATGATAGGCCACAATGTATGAAAGACATATCTACCAACCACTCCTTTCTTTTGAAGTTGAGTCATGTCAGTCAACAAATTAATTAAAGCTTTGAGTAGAACATCACGCATGAGACAAAGATTCCATTCACTCTCAAATTCCCTATTTCTTCCAGAATCTGAGGATTTGCTCCAAATGTGTCTTCTGTTTGTCTGTAATGCGAATGGTGCATTAAGGTGAATTGGTAAACCTGTCCGGACTGTCACTGGAAGAAATGAGTATAGTTGCCCTTCTAGTGGTAATGGATTGAGTCTATTTACCCCGGCTGTAAGCTTAGCAGCTACTCCACCACAAGGAAGAAATCCCTGTTTTCTACCATCATCTGTTTGTGCTTCCTTAAAAGCTGGTCCACCACTAGCACATGAGCTAATAAGCCATGTTTCTTTCTGTTTCTTTTTCGTCATTGATTTTGACAACTGAGATTCAAATAATACTTCTATTAAACTAGTTGTTTCTGGTGGGTTACCATTTCTGCTCTGCATCCATGCTGAAGTAGCGTGTAGAATATTTGACTGGCATTTTAGCAGATTGATTCTTTTCCTTGGTTGACATCTAGAAAGTGTGGGTATCTCTCTTGGTAGTTGCTGTATCAAATTTACTTTAATTGTTAGCATTTTCACAGCATCTGCACCTGTTCTGCTTCCAGTTTTCAATTCCCATATACTCATTTCCTTTACACTTTGAGTGAACAAGAGAAGGGATGGTGCAGAATTTCTAAGTTGCACAATCAATTGTTGAAGTTTTTGTTTGTCCTGATAAACCTTATCTGTGATAAGATTTTCTGGGTCACTTGCTTGATGGCAGGTTCGGAGTGGAAGTCGAAAAAGAGTCCCATTATAGTTAAAGTCTTCAGAAATGTTGCATCCAAATATACCATGATAAGGTTGAAACTGGTCTATACACACACCAAGTGTCCGTCGATGAGATTCTTCCTCAAGATTCAACCTAATCCCAGGCTGGGAAGGGTTGTGAATACGTGATTTGAGATGAGTCATCCTGGGATCAAAAATCATGACATGCGACCCACTGACAACACTTGGAACATCTGTAACATGGTACACTGAAGTAAATCCAAGACCAAAACGCCCTATCTTGTCTAGTTTGTTTTTCTTAGTTGCAGCTGCTATATCACATATGTTTCGTATGTCTTCACTTGAGAACATGGCATCATTGTATGACCAAAGTGCAGGACCATGACAGTGTTTCATACCAGGGTCTAGGAGCTTCAATTGCACATCAGTATTTTGTCTCTGGTCTATAAGAAACCTAATGTCAGTAGCACCAGCATCATCAGCATTTTGAATCAGTTCTTTGAATATGTCCACACCTTCTTTGTACACTTCTAAATTTGACTTGATAGCATTGATGACACTTTCATGAGGACCAGCCAAGTCATACCCAAGATTACCAGTTGGAGCCACATGCTTACTCAAGGGTTGCAATCCTAATTTACGAGCTGTTGCATTTGGTATGTCATCATGTACAATATAAAATGAGTTGTCCTTCAGATCATCAGAAATGAACTCTCTATCGCGGTAGAGACATATGTTCACTTCGACCAACTGCAACTTTGACTTATCATACATCTTTGCTGGAACAAGAATTAACTTCTGAATATCTTCTTTTAGAATATCACCCTTGCATAGTAGCTGTAAGATTTCGCACGAGAGTTTCAAGTCAGACTCTACATCATTTGGAGAAACATTCTCACAATGCTTGTTCTTAATTTTATGCAAGACATCAATTAGTACTCTGGAATTAAACTCTTGTGGAATGTTCATTTCTTTGAAAAACTTTGAAAACTGTGCAGCTAATATGGGCGGCAATGTAAATAGGTAAGGCTGAAGGTTGATTTGCAGGTTTGAAGTAAAAGCTACATTATCTGCACTTGTGAAGCCGCTTCCATGCCAGATCCATTTTGGTGTATTGCCTCCATTATTACGTACCCAGTGTTTTACCCACTGTATTTTTGACTTGGCTAGAAAACAGTAAATTTCAAAGATGATATCTTCAAGTGACTTATGCATATCAATAGAGATTTCATTTGTTGAGTCAACTATGAGCATCATCTGTTTTACAACCTTTTCCACATGTTCAGAATTTGTCTTACCATCCAATATTTGCCATTGAATGGTGGAGTGAAGAGAATCATTCTGATATTTTATAGGAATGATTGGCATAACACCTCCAATTAGTTTACAATTGTCATGAATAGTAACCTCTGTAGGAGTAAATAGGTGCTGGCTGTTGTTTATATCATCACCAAACCATGGGATAAACATTGGATAACCCTTGGGTCTATTGACATCGCAGGGAATCCATGCTAAAGTGATAATTTTGCTGAGCTTGGCTGGGAATCTATTCACATACTTCAACAAACAGTGTGCTTTTTGCATCGTAACTGCTGTACACTTGTGTCTCTGGCAGTCAAGGTGTTTTGCTATGTGGTATATTACATCATGACTTATGTTTGATTCTTCCATAAAGCCAACTCTTCTAAGCTGCTTAATGAGTTTGAAATGACTGTCAACCAGTTGACTTGGTTCTCCAAGTAGTACTTTCAGTAAAGAGTTGTCTGGATCAATGATTTCACATGGCTTTAACAACTGACCACCACGGGTCTTTACACATCTATATTTCTTCACAATTTCATCATACTGAGATCGACTAAGAACCCATCCCACTATCTGTAACACTTCCAAGTCAGAATAATAGCCATTTTCTATTTCACTTAAGATGTAATCTTCCAGAAAATCAATAAATTCCAACTTCTTTGCTCCAAGAACACTAGCTAGGTGAACAATGTTGTAGTCAGTATTTGCAAGTAATATCTTCTTGACCTTGTTACATGGGATTTTCTTATATTCGTATGGCGCTATTAAACAACACTGTTTTAATGAAACATATTTACCATCTAAGATCGACTCAAAAATTGGTAGTCGTATCAGAATGGATCTGTGTTCATCACAGGCATGTCTGTCAAGCTGGGAGAAGAGTTTGGATAAAGATCTTGCTAAAACTGGGCTGTTTTTCAGTTTCTGTTCTACTGTATCAATGCCAAGGTTTTCTAGGACTGTTATAACACCATTCGCATTAGCTGAAGCAATATACTGGTTGAGTGATTTTGGTAGATATGGAAGTTCGTCATTTAATACAAAGCCACCACAACTCGTGACAACTTTACCTACGTCTTCAGAGAGTGTTCCGATGAATATCGCCTTAGGACCTGGTATAAGTTTGAGTAACTCAATGCTGTAGCCTCTGTTTTTTAAGGGGACCAGTGGAAAACCATGTAGGTGACTTAGAGGAATATTGTGCTGCCTCTCAAACCAAATCCAGAACTGTGACAACCACTGACAAGGAGGGTACTGGGCAGATGCAACCTGACTCCATATTACTGTACTTCCAGTTCCCTTTGTCCAATTGGTGGGTAGAGCTGATCCCAAGTTCTGAATAACAGTGTCTGCATTGAGAACGTTCAATTGTGTATGACAGCAGGCATACTGCAGTTTCGATGTCAGGGTATCTGGCAAACTTTCATCTAGAAATCGGTGGTCCATATTAGGAAGCAAATATTGTGGACAATTTGTAGTTGCAATGAAAATCTTCCTAGCACCATATACTCTACTAAACGATGTAAAAGTTCCATTGGCTAATGGTAGTAAATGAAGACCATCCAACTCTATGTAATTTGCATCAGATAGGATATACTCTAATAAATTAAGTTTATTTCTCCTGTCCATATTCTGATGCGGTGTTGACTTTAGAAAGTTTCTGACAATGACTGGTGTGAGTTTATTCAGAGAAATATTTGATGACTTCAACCACTCTAGGCTATGCATCGGAAGAGTGACAATTGGTTGCCCATGTGCTAACATCATGTGTATGATGTCTGGTAAGACATTTTCTTGAGGGATGTTAAAAATAGCTTTTTTCAAACAAACCCATGTACCAGAGTTAGCTTCAGTGTAGAAAACACTATTGCGCATAAGCTTTTGTAGCAACTTTTCTAGCAGCAATTTCCAGTTGTTTGTAGTTACTTTGCAAGGATTTGGCCATGCTGCATACACATATCTTGGCTCCAGTTTATACTCATGCATCAATGCTGTAATCAACTTCATATAAACTTCAGGAATGGCTTCTGATGTCAACAAATGATTCCACCTTGCTGTTTTGTCTTGTTGTGATTCCATATCTGGCCATTTTATGCTTCGTCTGTTATCTCCAAGTCCGAAATATCCATGTATGTGAACTGGGAGACCTGTAGTCTGGCTTGGTGGTAGTGGTAAGAAGCAAAATATCCTCCCACCATTTTGGTATTCACTCGTATTGTTGCTTATTTGCATAGCTGCACCAACCCAAGGAAGCAAACGAATTTCCTCATCATCAGCAAGGCACCTAAGTTCTTCTGACAATACTGATCCTGGTATCTGGTGAGCCACAACCCAACGTTTGACTTCTTCTTTGAACTGATCCTCAAATTTGATTTCTATATCAATTGTGACAGCATCAGCTTGTTTCGTGGATTTGACCTGTTCAAGAAATTCAGATTTCTGAATCCGTACACGATCAATTACTGACTGTGCTATTGATGCACTGTACAATAGGGTAGATTCTGCATTCTGTCCACTGCACTCATACACAGATATTGATTCTATGTTTTTCAAAAACAGCAAAGTCAGGTCAACATCCTTCCTAAATGAAGTAATCCATCCATCAGGACCAATAATGCGATCCCTGGAAATGATGTTTCCACTCAGTTTAGATTCAGTTTTACGTAATGGAAACCGGAATATTGTGCCATCAAATCTTCCCTTATAAAACGAGGATTCATCACAACCAAAAACTCCTAAATACGGTTCAAACTGGTTGCTGTATGGTGTATGAGCTTTGGACAATAACTCTCCTTTCAATTTCCATTTCTTGCCAGCTTTGTTTTGATATTTCTTGTTTTTGTATTGGTCATAAGCAAATACTGTTTCAAGGGGGTCAAATATTCCAAGACATTTTCCACTGAGGACACTTGGTAGATCTGTAAAATAGTAGCGACATGTTATTATTGTTTGACCATTTCATTTCCCTGCACTTGGACTAGTTTTGTTTATGAATATTACTTGGGAATCAATTTACTGATTTAAACATAATGATTTCATACACATGGTAGCTAAATTTAGGCAAAGTTTGCATAATTATAACCAATACATTGTACATATTTTGTTCAGACATATATTTGAATAAGATCATACTAGATATCCTAGAGGGTGTATACAACATACATACCTGTGATATGGTACACTGAATTGAAGCCGAGACCAAATCGACCAACTTTCAGTGGATCATCTGCTTTACCACTTTGTTCAGGTCTTTGTATACTAAACCAATCTTTGTCTTTAAATACAGCATTGTTGTAAGCATACAGTGCTGGACCATGGAATTCTTTTAATTTATCAGACCAGAGACCATCTGTTGGATACTCTGTATTGTCATAGAGGAACTTCACTTCGGTTGCACCAGCATCATCGGCATTTTGAATTATCTCCTGAAATATGAACAGAGATATATAACTGTTTAGTATCAACAGACCAAATAATACAGGGGGTGCAAATATCTAGTCTCACTTTATACTGTTACTGATTTGCTGTTCTGTGTTGTTTCGTAATTTTACCGAAATAAATGTACTAAATAAGCATTTTCCTGTTCTTTCATTAACCCGATGGAAAAAAGAAATGAACGATGGAATTGTTTACATACCTTTAATATCTGTCCGCCTTCAGGATATTTATCAAGAATACGTTTTAAATATAGGTATAAAGGAGGCACCTCTTGCCCAAAGTCATCATCTAAGCAATTGAAGTGATGAAAGACAAAATTAATATAATGTATAATTTATGTATAATTTTCTGGCTAATCAGTTTTTAAAAGCAAAAAACCAAAAAGTAGGTTGTCACTCATAGTCCTAGGTGTTGGGTTTGCATATCCTTTGTCTACTAATGTATGCATGCTGTCTGTATACATGTATAATTTATAATATATATGGAATCATGACCAATTTCATTGAGATGGCTTATAGTCTGGTGAGTGAACTTGTAACCCCATAACAACATGGCCGACTTGATGAGCGGGAACATCTGGTGACCCCAATTATTGAATTGGCATCTTGAAAAATATTTGTACTAATTATGTATACATAAAATGTACAAAAATTGGACTTAGAATCTGATAAACATAACTATAGGCCCAATAATATGATATATGTATACATAAACTGTACACAAATATGAAATTTAACATTCAATTATATTCATAAAAGAGTATAAAAACATTTTCAATAGATTACTTACGAGAATACTAAATTGTTATTTCTGATAGCAGTAAAATTTTATTTTTACTACAGTTTACTGAATGAATTACTAGAAAGTCATTATACGAAGAGGGAGTCGTTTAGAGTTCGCCTAATTTGCACATATTAAAAATTATCCTGTTTTGGATTCTAACATGACCTATTGCCTATTTTTATGAACTTTTTCGTGACCAATATAACTGAATTAAAATTTAATTTCCCATTATATATCTAGTTTTGGCATTTTCAATTGAGCAAAATACAATAAAATAAATCAGTACTACTCTCACCACAATCAGTTTGTTGTACATCTTTGGCTGACATATATGTCAAACCTATACAATATTGCTAGTAAGTGAATGTACTATAGTCAGGCAGGTACATACTTTTTGTATACAAATCTGTTCCAAATATAGGGTACTTCTTGTATACAAAAAATTATACATTAAATTTATTCAATGAATTTTGATAAGGGCAAGCATGCAGTCAAATATCCATCATGATGATGACCATCAGTCATAGTCATCCCAACTAGATTCAGCAGTGAGTTGGGTTGGCTGCAACTACCAAAAAAGTCTATGGTGGTGTGTACATTGATCTAGCAGTTATCTAGCCCAGCCATTTATCCTACGGCCAACATGATGACACCACTGAGGCATTACTAAAGGGAGCGGAGCTATCATTCCAGCCAAAACGTAAGAAGGACAGATATTTCCTTTACATAGTTGTCTTTGGAGTGTATGAAAGTATTTTATATAGTCAATGTCCAGAACTTTTGCCCAGCCTTACTTGTATATCGCTGCACTACCCAGAATTTTGATGACAGATGACACAGTGTGTATATATAGCTGCGAAAAGCTAGCAAAAAGCAGGGATTTCAGCTAATAATTTAGACCATTAGCTTTACATAACAACATTTACAGATCAAAGTGCTGCCATGTTTCACATCAATCATAGGTATAAACAACTAGACCATATTAGCTATCAAGGTCAAAGACGCAAAACCCTTTCTTTCCAAAAACTGGAACAGTGCTTTAAATGCAAAAAGCAGCAATTACCAAGACACCCTTTGACGAAGTAGCCAAAGGTTACAAGGCCAGCCCTATGGATGACCCACCCTCTTCAGCATTTGTGTCATCCTCACTTGGCGCATGACCAAAACAATAGTAGAAAGTATCGAGTCATTCATGACCTCTCATGAACACAAGGGCAATCCACAAACGACACTTTCCTAGTGACTACAGCACTTCTACAACACCTTAGTGCAATGTGCAGCGAGGTGCCTAAGATGAGTCTATTCAATTAATTTAAATATCCCAAATCCCAAATGCCTGACTCAGTATTTTAGTTTCTTGCTTATGAGGTCTTTCTTAAAAATTAATTCATTTACTGGATGATGTATGTAATACAAACTAATTTTGTGTATTGTCCAATTCAAAAAAGTAGGTGCACCACAGAATATTTGTAATGTGAGCTCTCAGTCACGTTAAAATAATGTAAAATAGCAAAAAATACAGTTTAATAATTAACCCAACTTTGTTAGACTAGTGAAAACTTAAGGCATTGATAACTGAAGCTATATTTAGACCACATGTGTCAATGTGTCTGGCCAAGATTTATGAACAGAAACTGCAGCATTAATTTTTCATATACTGTGGAATACTTTATTTTCGCTGGAATTAATTTTTGCTGAAAAGGCTTTTAGGGCGTTTTGTATGGAATTTATTTTCACTGATTTTTGATAAGTTTAATGTGAAATATAGGAAAAAAAGTATATTCGCTGGATTTTATTTTCACTGAATCATCCCTTCAGCGAAAATATCAAAAATAAATTCCAAGCGAAAATAAAGTATTCTACAGTAGTCAAACAAAAATCAGACTGTAGTCCATTTCTGTCAATGATTCAGATCAAGGTCATTACTGAAAACCCTAGCATCATAATCTAAGCTAATTATTTATTCTGAGCGTGCTCAGTTTTTCTCTCTGTGTTGTTGGGAGAGATAATTTTGGATGAAAATCATGAAAAAAGACCCACTTAGGATTTTCAGATCTGGAAAAAAAAATTGAAAAATTGAGTGCATGTTCAATAGAGACTTGTTCATCAACCTGCCAAGTTTCATCGATATCTGCTGCAGAATTTCTGAGAAAATGTTCGAAAAAAAAAAGGATGACAAACCAAAGAAACTGCATGTACAGTACATAAGTTTGACATTTAACTGAAAAATCAGAGACAAACTGAAAATACTTGAAATTGTGGAGATTGATCAAACGTGAGTTCTTTACAAGTATCAAATATTTGTTGATACACTTATTTTCTCAATTCAACACCTTGTAATGGTGGAAATTAATTAAACAACAGGTATTTACTCACAAATACCTTGCCAATATTTGTCATGACACTTATTCTCTCAATTTAACAACTTGTAATGGTGAAAATTAATGAAACCACAGGTATATTTTTCAAGACATTTATTCTCTCTTGTAATGGTGAAAATTAATTGTTCTATTAGTGCTCTTCACAAGAGCTGCTCCCTGCTTCCAAATTGGAAATGTATTCATGTGCCAATGATTATACTTGAAAAAAAAATTTGAGTATTGTGGAGTGCACTTGACTATTCCTCTCTGGGTTAGCACTCCAGGCTAGCCACATTAGTTGCTAATAAAACATAAATGTGACCAATGTTTTTTTCACAAATGATGTGCCACACAAGTTTAAAAATATTTTTTTTATTCCAAAACTAATTGTGTTAGTCAGGCGATGCCTTCCCAACACTCTGTATCACTGAAATTTGTAAAAATATTTTATATTTGCTTTTTTATGTTGCTTGTCAGATTTGGCTATTGCTAATAATAACTGGTAAATTAACCAAACCAGGCAACTTTGACAAACATTAAAAAATCAGTAATTTTTTGTTTGATTTTTACATAAATCTTATTTATTGACTTTATCAAATATTTTGTATGTCAATTAATCGTCAAATTAAGCACTCTGTGCCTATTTTGCTAGATTGTTTCATTTCACTATGATTTATTTCTTCATTGATTTTCAGACTGTCAAGATTCCTAGTTCCGGCACGGTACTGGCACCCATGCAAAATATGATATTATGTTCAAGATTTTTAAGACAGAAGAGTTATAATATAGAACAAAAGAATACTGCCATATGCTGATGAGATGGATGAAGTTGTGATGTGCTACTGTAAATGCATGAAAGGAGCAGGTGCTCGAGCCATCCACTACTGTTTTGTGATATCAGTGAAAAGAAAATTCAAAATGTAGAACGTTTTTGAAGGGATATGGTGGTGGTGAAAAGTGATGTTTAGCTTGCGCTTGTAAAAAAAAATATGAACATAGTTAATTGATATCCAGAGTCTTTTATTTGTGCCCACCTGAAAAGCACCCCAAATGATTCTATATATAGAGAATATCCAATGAGTCATTATATAATATCATATTTATTAAATAAGGGTAGTAATTTTCATTTGGCAAAGAACAAATCAGATCTGCTACATGAGTTTAATAAATACATTTCCAAAATTGTGTGCATCACAAACATTTTAGCAGGCCCCATATACATTTGCAGGAAAATTAAAATTTAGATTGTGGGTACTCCGGAATATTAGTCAAATTTTTAAAAAGAAATAATTTATGTTAATTAGTCGCTGTTTAGATACTGTCCAAAAATGTGTAATACTAATTTTGGTCATCATAGTGTCTCTGGACTGATATTTGTATGTAGTTAAGTATTACAGCATTATAATGTATTTGGTTTAAAGCTCAAATTGATATCTAAGAGTACATGCTTTGTTTTTAACCAAAGTTAACTGGAACAAGCCATGCATGGCACAGTCCCTGTTAGTTTTCAAATTTAAGATATATAATTTTGTGAATAGTAATATCACAGGGAGCCCAGGAACTATGATCAACTGTATGCACTCCCTATGAGCGCGTGGGGGTAAGGGGGTGTCAGTTGGTATTTAGTGTAAGAAATAGACAAGGGATGAAGGCTCCAGCCAGCTCATATTTTTTAAACTGGAAAAAACAGATGAACAGAATGAAAAATAAAATCTATAAAAAATACCAGGTTGAAGAATATTAGTTGCTCTTTAAAATTTCGCCAAAGCCTTACGTATATTTCACTCATATCTGCAGAGTAAATGAAGAAAACTACACAAATTGACTCAATTTACGAATAATTAACAGTTTGCCTGAAGGCACTGCACAGTTGGAAGTGTTGAGCAAGGCTAACTGAGTCGTGACCTTGATGTGGTTCATAACCAGTCTTATGATTGGTTGTTGACAAAATGCTGAACATGCCACGCCTCCAACTGTGCCGTGCCTTCGAGCAAACCATAATGTTGAAAACCAACAAATCCTGTCAAAGCACCACATTTTCCAAAAACAAGATGGATGCCAGTCATCATCTTTGTTCTGATTGTGAAACAAACTGACATGAACATGTATTCCTATATATATGGTGTATGTGCCAAATGGGCCATT